ACGTCAATCGGCTTTTCCGAAAAGTCGATTATTTAGTAATAACTCTAAGAAATTCTAAAAATTCTTCAGCTAGTTCGAGTTCTACACCGACCCGATACACGGCACAGCCAGCGATCCATCAAGTTCAAAATTTCTATATACAAAAAAATTAGTCATCAAGCTAAACCTATATATTCTCATATATGAACATAAAAAATAGAATACTACAATCTTTTTGAGAAAAATTTTGATTTATATAGATATTCTCATATGCAAAACAAGAATCATAATTAGACAAGAATTATAATCTTGAGTTGAATAAAAGTCAAGCATCAATACAAATTCAATCAAATGAAGACTAACATTTTCTTTTTATTATAATATTCTTGCTTTATAGCATGAGAATATTTTTCTTGCTTTTTAAGAATAATTTTATTTTTATATATATAGTGAATAGCTCAGTTTCAATTTAATTTCGGTTCGGCGGTGATAATTTCGACATAAAGCAAACATAGTAAGATTGTTATTGCAAGATTCGTGCGACATAAAAAATTTTTTTTTTTTGGACGATCGAAAGAAATCGCGTCTTGTACGAAATCTTGAGTTTTCGATGTCGTCCGGTACTTCGCAAGTTCTTTCTCTCTCTTTTGAGGTCACTGTGGCAAGAGCACGGTCCTGACTGATCCACGGAGTCTAACGACGAAGATTTGACCGAGGAGCACGACAAAGGAGCAGCCTTGAAGAAGAATGGCCGCTTACTCGTATTAAATCACACGGTATCGGATGGTCGTCGTTCCGCTTCAGCGCGGCGTTTCCCTCGCCAGACTGACTTCCAATAAATGCACGTTGCCTGAACGCATTTTTTATTATTGCCTGAAAGTTTTGTTTTACCCAGATGTAAAACAACGGTCTAAACATTTAGGAATACCGAACGTACAACTTTATAAAATCTCATTATAAAATCGTTATAATGTAAATGCGCGTACTTTTGTCTTGTTTTGGCATACCAATTCTGCTTATGAAAGAATATTTAAGGCTATAAAATTCCTGAAATTACAATATCCGAAATAATGAACTATATATATATATATATATATATATATATATATATATATATTATATTTTTTTTTTTAATTCTTTGCCATTTATTAAAGAGATAATTTATTAAAGATGAAAATTTTATCGAGAATTAATTACTAGAGGAACTAACAGTTTCAATGATCGATAAAATCACGGAGAACTTTATCGACAGTTTCGATGGTTGATAAAGTCTCGTTGAACTTTATCGACATTAAATAATTATCATCAAAATTTATATTTATTATCAAAAAAATTTTTAATTTTAAAATTTAATAAAAAGTATTAAAAAAATATAGATAAAAAATGGCACAAAATTTCGAAAGCAATCAAAATCTAATAATTACACATAGTGAAATTATTTCGTATTTCTATTATTTATTTTATGTTATTCAAATTTTCATATTTTTCTTTCCTCTTTCTAATTATTGATTTATTTAATTTTGAACGCGGAAAGTGTAGCACAACGCAAAAACAGATTTTACGATTGTAAGTCGCGTTTTTGCGACAGTATCAATTTTGATTGGTCAAGATTTGTGGACACAAGTGCAGAACTCGCCAATCGATTTCACGTGCATCTTAAATTACATATTTATATTACTTTAACCTTTATCTTATCTTTTATCCATACCGTAGAGTATTCGTTAGTACTCAGCGTGCTAGGGATTCGAGTATATTTAACAAGAATATCACGTTATTATTAGCGAAATGGAGGCACTTATAAGTTTCCTGGAGCAGCATATTTTGGGAACAATTTTGTGCATGATATGGATATTAACTTTCTGGAATTACTATTTGAGCTTCCGTCAGGTAGGTCTATCTTTATAACCTTATAACAATCATTTTCTAAATTTTATTATTACAATAAACTGATGAAATAAAATGATTTATTGCTTCTAAAATTAACAAGATTTAATTATTTATAAATCATGTACTTAAAATATACACATGTATATTTTTAATTATTTTCCATTTATATTTTAGTTTCTTTATTAGTTATTTCGAAAAAAGATAAACTCTTAGAAATGTAAACTGTACAAAAATTAATTGTATATTGTAAATGTTACAGAGAACACTTTTGCAGCGGCTGGTTGATTTACCAAAATCAGTTGAGGGTTTAATGACAAAAGATGTGTATGATAAGGCTCGTGCATACGCATTGCATAAAAATATCTTTGACGTTGTACAGGAAATATATTCAAAGATTTATAATACAGTGGGTATTGTGTGAAAATAAATATATGTGTATTCAAAAATTGATATATAAATATATTTAATAATCACAAGAAATGTATAAATAAGAAAAAGAATGAGTACTAAACACTAAAATCCAATTTTGATTTAAAAAATTTGTATTATACGTTTTTTATCGTAACAAAATATAATGAATTCTGTATGTAATTAAAGTAGAAGTAAATGTTTTTAGAGATTTTTTGAAAATAGATTTGTTTATTATTTTTAATATATTTTTACAGGTGATTCTGCTATGCTTTGGTTATTATTATATCTGGGAATGGAGCATTCAAATAGCTAAATTCTGTGGTATTAATCATGAAAATGATATATTGCTAAGTGCGATATGTTTATTCATCATAAATGTATTTTTCCATGTATTTAATCTGCCAATAACGATATATGATATTTTTGTTTTGGAAGAGAAACATGGCTTTAATAAACAAGTAAGAGTTTCCATTTTGCAATTATAAAGACTTTATATGTATTTATAATTTTATTGACAATCTATTGATTAATAAGTTAATATTAATAATTATTAATATATTCATTTGCAGACGGTTACATTTTTTATCAAGGACGAGATTAAAAAGTTTATTGTATCTCAAATCATCACTGTACCTCTTCTGTGCGGTATGATTTGGATTGTGAAGAATGGTGGAGATTACTTCTTTTGGTATTTATGGATATTATCTGTAGTATTCTCACTGTTCATGATGATCCTCTATCCTGAAGTAATTGCGCCATTATTCGACAAATATTCGCCATTACCTGACGGTGAACTGAAGCGGGAGATTGAAAAATTGGCAGCTTCTTTAAAGTTTCCTTTATATAAGCTGTTTATTGTCGAGGGCTCCAAGAGATCATCGCACAGTAATGCCTACCTGTATGGTTTTTACAAACATAAGAGGATCGTTCTATTCGACACACTCATCAAGGGTTATTGCAAAAAAGACGATAATGATTCTAACAAAGATAATGATTATAATAAAGGTTGTGAGACAAACGAAATACTGGCGGTACTTGCACACGAATTGGGTCATTGGAAACACAATCATACTCTGAAAGGATTTTTACTCAGCCAGGTACGATTCTAAAATTAATTTGTATTTTATTGCTTTATTTTAGAGTTTTGATCTCGAAGTTGCGTAAGTTAAACATTAAAATAGTATCACACTTTTATAAGACATTTTTAGATTAAAATATAGAAACAAAAGTAAAATACAGTAACAAAAGTAAAATAAATGTAAAATATTTACTTGAAATTGATAGCAAAATAATTTTTTCAAATAACTTTTAGCACCTAATAGTAATTTCAATATTTTCTAAGAAAAAATTGATTATGATTTTTAATCAGAGAATATATTATTAAAATTAAAATGATATTCTGTACATGACTTGAGAAGTTTTTTAAATGTATCTTTATATTTTTGATAAAAAAATTACATCCCATATATATTTTTTAGATATTGTTTGTAACCAATATTGTTATATTTGCCAAACTCTTGGACTATACACCAATGTACAACGCTTTTGGTTTTATGGACTCTAAGCCCATTATCATCGGCTTAATTATAGTAACAATGTTTATTTTAATACCACTGAACACGGTAAGTATGTTACGTTAAGTATGCCTATTCAATTCTTTTTTATATTTTTTGTTAATTTTGTATTATTAAATAGTGAGAGATTATATAATTTATATTTTTATTATTTTCAGATCTTTAGTGTTATTAGCGTTGTTATCAGCCGAAGATTTGAATTTCAGGCGGATAATTTCGCCACTAAATTAGGCCATGGCGATGCTCTAAAGGCGGCTCTGCTAAAATTACAAAAGGATAATTTGGGATACCCTATATATGATAAATTATATTCTAGTTGGTACCATTCGCATCCACCTACGCTCGAACGATTGGAAGCAATAGATAAAAGTAAATAAGAAAGTCTACCCGATTTTCATACTTCTATTGTTTGCAAACGTAAAAGACGAAGCCTAAAGTTTTTATCGAACATGTATAATGGTTCTTCAAGTTATTTTATATGTGATGCATTTTTTTTCTTTTTAATTCTGCTATGCAGTTGAGCGGATCTGCTCCAGTTGTGCGAAACATTAGTCCAAGATAATTATGCTTCCTATTTATTGTCATAATATTAATGAGATTCGATAGTTCTTATTTCAATATGCATTTCTCTTTTACAATCTGTTCCAATTAGAATAAGAATTTCTGATAAAGCTTCACTATCGTCCAACATTTTTATATAATATATATATTTATATATATATATATATTAATATATTTTTGCATTTAATATTTAATATGTAAACATTTTTCCGATATAAACTTGTGAAAAATAATCGATATTTTGTAAAATATTTGTAGAGATCTCGGTTGAATATTTCGGTTGAATATTTCGAATATCATTTTTTTCAATGATTGTCGTATCTTATATATGTTCCATACATTTATAGTACATACAGAATTTGTGTTTATTATCCGACACTGTTATCTATCATTTATAGATATAACATTAAACATTTAAATTATATAAATTATTTTTGCCATTATATAAAAATATTTTTGGATGTGATAAACGCAAAATGTAATTTACAAAGTTGACATTTTCCATTTAATGTTAGTTTTATAATGCTGGGAAATTGTAAAAGTGTATAACATCTGTGAATAATCCACGTGTTTATTCTTGCATTGATAAGCATACAACTTTTTATCTTTTTTATAATAACTTTGTTAAAATGCATGTCGAGGAAGATGTGTGTTTAATGTTTTCATAATCCAATTATTCACAGTATGACAATGTCAAGGAAGATAATATATCTGGTCTCTTCTACAGTGACCACTCGTACTGTTAAAATTATCTATACAACTTATATAAGCATTCAATCTATCTATACACCACTACATGCAGTTGAAAGCTGCATTGATATAAACATTGACTTCTCATATATATATGTTATATGCATATATATGTTATATATGTTATATGCATATATACGCATATATATATATATATATATATATGTGTGTGAGGATATATAGCCCTAAATGTAACCAAAATGAGGATGTGATTGAAGATTAAAAGCAAAGATAGCGAGATGTACGTGTGCGTATTAATTTTTGTAACGTTAGTTATAAAAATAAAAACTTAAGATTCTCCTAAGATATTTGCAGTATAAATTGCGGCTAGCCTGTTTATAATTTACATTAATTTACTTATGTAATATGTGTATATATATTCTTTATATTATATAAGCTCGAAACTTTGACTTCATTACGTATTTCTAATCTGTGGGCATACCGAATAGTGACGTATACTGAATCAAACCATCATCGATTCGATATCTTATAGAAGCACTTTGTATGTTTAAATCAGAAATATTATTTCGTTTAATCCGACACGAATCCGCAATATTACTTCATCGCAATTGATTAAACTAAAAATGGCAAATTAAAGAATTCAACATCTAAATGTGTTATGTTAGTTTCTAAAGAAAAATAACAATGCATTTGATGAATTGAGACAATTCGATTGCATCTTTTGTAAATTTTGCTCGTGATCGTGATCTGACTCACATTGATCTTATATAATTCCTAATAAGTGATTGCTAAATATAAAAGTTTAGAAATATTCGCGCATCTATTGTTTATTGATTCTTTGTGCAATTATCACTAGAAAATTTATTACAATTTACATCTAAATTTATTATAATACTTACCTATTACAGATGCAGTTTCGTACTGCTTTCTATATAGCGTCGGATCATACAGAAGATTTTTCGCAAAAAGATAAAATATAAATGAATATTTAATAACTTTACAATCGGACCTCTCTAATCAAATTCTTATTAGAGAAAAATTACAATTTATCAGAGAGTATTTAGTTTTCCGATTTTCCCGGACCACTTTGTTGTGTCTATCCTGTTTGATATCCTTTTCTATAAATGCTCCCTTATTTAAATAATATTAAAATAGTTTAATATTTCCTAGATCTAAATATTGATAACAACAACGCTAAGATAGAATTACTAACGTAAATATTAAACACACACACACTCTCTTTCTCTCTCTTTACATGCGACAAAACATCTTATAATTATTTTATGATTAATCAATTCATCTTTTATAATTTTGTTAAAAAGAATAAAGAATTATCATTAAACTTTTAATATAATTCAAATTGTTAATCGATGTTTAATTATATTTATATTTAATTTTTGAATAAATCAAAGTAATTACATCAAAAAGCATAATGATTAAAAAGAACATCGGATTATCTTTGATCTTTTAAATGATGAAATATATTGTTTGAACAGGACTGGCAAAACATTGTTATATTATGTGATAATACTCGTAATATATGGATAATTAAATATTTAAGAATTCATAAAATTTCTGCAATTATTTAACAATTTTCTAAAGACAAAATTGTTATTTATATATATATATATATAAACGTAAATCATTCCTTTTAAGCAAAGAGGAAATTACAATTGTTTGATGAAATAATCTTATAAAATATAATATTTTACACACAACACACAAGAGCATACATTTAGAAGAATTATAATGTATTAAAAACTAACTAAAAACAAATTATTTTGCGTGTCAAAATAAGACAAAAATATAAAACAGAATCATTTTTTATAAAAATTTCATTTCAGAAGAAAATAATTTTGAAAATTAAAAAGTTAATGTAATTTTGTATATACAAAAAGTATTATTAAGAACTAAAGTATAATCTTTGTTACTTTACTATACACGGATATGAGGAAGAATAATAGATTCAATTAGAGGCAAACTAAAAAACTGATAGTATCTCTAATATTGCAAAGAAACTAATTTTTTATATTTAAAAAAGTAAGATGATCTTTGAAGAATTAAAATATTATCTCTGGCAAATATTAAAATTGTAATGATAATATCGAACATTAGGAGGAGAAAATGTAGCACGCTTAAAAAAATTTTTCATTATACAGTCGAATTTAAAATTTATAATCCTATTTTGACATATGTATAAAATCTTAGAATGTAGTGCCGCGCACCACTCCAGGTTTACTCTCGTTTTTTAAATTGTATACATCCATGAAACTTGTGATTATATGTTACATCTTTAATGTGTCATATGAATTGAAAACAAATGCAATTAGATATTGAATAAATAATAACAATATTCTATTTGTCCCAACAATGCTTCGATCTGTATTATTCATATTAATTTCGAAACATTTTTATGATATGTAAACTATGTTTCTAAAAAAAAAAAAGAAAAAAAAGAAAAATTAATCGAACAAATAAGTATGAATGATGTAAGATAAAATGTCAGCACATTGTCATCTGCATAATACATTTTACAAGTTCTAGTTTTTTTTTTCTTTTTCACATGCGTTACAATGTACGTATTAGAATATTATGAATACTTGTCAATTGAAGTATGGACATTGGTGTGTTGAAAATTACGATAAGTATCAGCATGCTACTAGTAAAAAGAAAGGACATCTTGTCAATTTGTATTTATGTTCATTAAGTATACGCTCGTAAATACAGTTTCTGTTTTTGTTCATGGAACTCACATATATATGAATATATGATCGTAAAACGGAACTTATAGTAAAGTGAGTTTAAAGCAAAGAAACAGACATATATGCGTTTCTAACGTGAAAAATATCAAACATCGTCGTTATACGCGACAAAATGATGCTACTATATCCTAATTTAACGGCTTGTTAAAAAGTCTACCACGATTATCTCTTAACAATCCAGTTTTTATTTATCATCAAAGGCGCGAAGTGAACGTCTAAGGATAACGTTTCAGAATCAAATAGCCGGTTTCTCAGTTGACGAGCCCAACTTGATTGGAACACGATCGGACATTTCAACTTTGGAAGTCGTTCTCACTTAATACAATTCCATTTCTCTTAGCCGTAAGCTATTATTCTAATCGTTAAAGATACATAATTAAATGGATAATATATGCATCGACGAGTTTTTCATCCTGGAGTGGTGGCGGCCAAGCAGTGGCTCTCTTTAAAATCATCTTAGCGTCACATTTCTCGACTAACGGTATGTGAAAGTAATTGGGAACAATACCTTGCACTTGTCACTCAGTTTGAGCGCAAGCACGGGTCTTCCATCGCTGCGCCGTGCAATACATGCGTACGTGAACACAGGAACCAAGTTGTCTCTATTGCGTATGTATGTGGATCTGTGTGTGTGTGTGTGTGTGTGTGTGTGTGTGTGTGTGTATTCATATATGTATCGGATAATGGGAGCACGTGGACGCGTGAGATCCGTTATATTTTTATAATCGTTTTGCTCAAACAAATCAATTTAGATCTCCTCATGCATAATGAAGTGAATCTGTGCCGTGAGTTTGAACGGGACATTTCAATTATTCGGATGTATCGAAGGGGAAGAATAAGCTAATTTTGCAAAATCAACAAAAGAGATCGAGAATAAAACGAGAAACAAATATATATTCTGAACTGTGTTATGTACATGTCTTTGTAGATGCCTAGAAATATAATTCGTATATTACACACGTGTAGACTTAGTCGGGTGTTTTTCATTTTTTTTTTTTTTTCTTCATGATCGGGAGCTACGCGCGCATCATCGGAATAACAAGGCCATGTTTCTTTTGTTATCAAAGGCGTTATATATAAAATATTTATTCTTTTTCTTTCTTTGATTGAGCAATGGCAATCAGCACATCATATTCATTCATTTGTTTGTTCTGCTACGAAAATATAAAAGTATGTACAATTCAATAAATTAATCCTCACCTAAGGGTATAAGATACGATACTCTTCCTGTACAATACTCAATGACTCGAAATTAATTAAACTTCTTAATAAAACTACAAAAAGATCGATTGGAGATTGATCTTTTACAGATGGCAATGATGGAATTCTTTTCAAGTGTGTCTATATATAAATCTATATACATATGTATATGTATATATATATAACTCTATGCATCGTTTTGCGATCGTTATCTAACATAAAAAAATTAAGAACAGG